CGTTCTCTCTTGTGCCTAGTTTTGCATTGAAGTCTCCCATTAACACCGTATATTGGATTTTGGAGGAATGCATGGCTCTAGAGATGTCCTCATACATTTCCTCCACCTCCCCATCGGGGTGTGCCGAGGATGGTGCGTAAACCTGTATGACCTTCAGCGAATACCATTTGGTGATTCTGAGTATAAGGTACGCAACCCTCGTCGACACACTCCCAATCTTTACAACGTTGTTAACGAGAGACTTGTGGACGATAAATCCGACACCTCCTTGGGACAGATGGACGCCCTCCCGGTGATAGAGTTGTCGGATTCGAGGATTACCGTGTCCTCCCCCTCTCTTCGGACTTCGGATAATCCTATAATATGCCAGCGTAACTTGTCTATCTCTTCTTCTAGCTCCACGATCTTCTCGTCAGTCCTCAGGGAGCGTGCGTTGTATGTTGCCAGGTCGAGTCGTCTTAGGTGGCAACTGAACCTCCACCGGAGATTCTTAGCACCCCCTGCCCCGCCCTTACCATGGTCGCCACCGTAGCCAGGAATAGCGGGGCCGCCGGGGACTGAGGGCCGTCTCTTTGTTACATTCATAGGGGCGATTTGCCATAGTTGCCACGCTTGGCGAGCGGGTTGGCAACCGCAGTTTTTTATTGTATTTTTGCTGTTATCAGAAAGATGCTGCTGCCCATATCCTGCCTGTTTCCCTTTGTCGCCTTTTACGGCACCCACGGGAATATATGGAGTAGTGGATATTCTTAACCGCCACTACACGGTATAGGGTAGGTAACCTCTATTGAATTAATAATAATTACTTATTATCTGAAAATCCGATAGATTTGATTACAATTGACTTACTTACTTACTTATCTTCACGCACAATCCCTGACGGGGTAGCCAGAGAGAACAGACCGCCAAGTGTCACGATCCTTACAAACCTCTTTCGCTTCTTTCAGATTCATTATCTTCTTCATGCATGTACGTCGAAGAATCCGAGTACTTTTGACCCTACCCTCTTCGAGCAATTTGCTCACATGGTCTTCGAAAGTTAGTCTCGGTCTACCTCGACACCTTTTAATATTAACTTTCGCGCTATATATTTTCTTCACCATTCGGTCTTCACTCATTCGCTCAACGTGCCCAAACCACCGAAGCACGCCCTTATCAATTTTTCTGATACGGTAATCTTTCAAACCTGCCATATTGCGAATCTCTTCGTTTCGCTTTCGGTCGGCCATGGTAACGCCGCACATTTTACGAAGAGATCGCATCTCCACTGCATTCAACTTACTTTTATGCTTCTTCTGGCATACCCAGGTTTCGCTGCCATATAACAAAGTCGGTACCAACACTGCGTTATGTATTGCAAGGCGTGCACTCTTCGCTACGCCCTGCCTTTTGACTAACGCAGTCAGGGCACCATTGACTTTGTTCCCGGCAGCGACACGCCTGTCCACATCTAAATCACATCTTCCATCCCGGCTAAAAGCACTCCCCAAGTATACAATTTCATTTACCTGTTCTAGACATTCCTGATTTACCCATATTTCACACTTCGTTCTCTCTTCGTCCCTTTCAAATACCAGAACCTTAGTTTTATTAGCATTCAAACGGAGACCTTTAATTTCACATTCCTCTTTCATACACGTGACTAATGCCTGCAGTTCTGCCTCTGATGGTGCAATAAGCACTGCATCATCAGCATACAGCAGACAATTTACTTTAATGTCACCCAATTTCACACCCAAACAACTATCTTTCAGCTTCTGTAAACAGCCGTCGAGATACAGTATGAACAGCCAGGAAGACATGACACAACCCTGCTTTACGCCCGTTTGGACGTTAAACATGGGTGACAGGTCATGGCCTACCCGCACACAGGCTTTACAGTCACAGTAAAGAGACTGCACAGCCCTTAGCAATTGACCATCCACACCATACCCCGGCAACAGTTCCCACATTTTCTTCCTTACAACCTTATCAAATGCTTTCTCAAGATCCACAAAAGCACAGAAAATCTTCTGGTTAGCAGCCAGTAGCTTTTCCGTGATCATGCGGAGAGAAAACATTTGATCCGTGCATCCTCTTCCAGGTCTAAATCCGCATTGTGCCTCCCATAGAAATCTTTCCGATTTCTCTTGCATCCTACGTGTCAAAACCTTCGAGTAAACTTTACTTGCTAAACTGGTCAAGCTGATCGCCCGATAGCACCCGCAGTCAAAATGTGAACCTTTACCTTTATATAAAGGCACAATGACTGCGGATCGCCAATCATCCGGGACATCCCCTGTCCGCCAGCACAAATTGCACAGCAGATGAAAGCTGTCCCAGACGCGAGGCCCACCATACTTGACCATTTCAGCAGTAACTCTGTCTAGTCCCGCAGCCTTACCACATTTCAAACTTCGAATCGCACGTTCAATCTCTTTCATACTGATGACCTCAGTGTCATCGAGGTCCGGGTCTGACGTGCCAGTCACGGCGTCATCCCCGGATCCCTCACTAAGATCATCACACGCATACATTTCTCTATAAAATTCGCTCCATCGCTGCATGACGTCCGATTTTTCTGAGAGGACGTCATTAGTTCTCGAAAGCACTTTGTTCATTCTTAAGGCCGTCGCACCACTTCGGGCCCTTCCAACCTCTTTCCAGAAGAGTTTGGAGTTCTCCTTAAAGTTGTGCGACAACCTTTCATCCGCTTCCATTCTACACCTTTCACGCACTTCCTCAATCAATGCTTTCGTGTGAACTTTCTGCAGCTTATATCTTTCTTTCATCTTCTCTTTCATATCCTTATCATTACTAGAGGTCAAGTAGTCTAACCATGCTTTCTTCTTCTTCTTTACAGCTTCTTTCACTTCATCATTCCACCATGCATCTCTTCTTTTACTACTGCCTCTTTTTATTGTTCCACACACTTCTTCCGCCGCACTTACCATTCCATCCCTAAGGTTCTGCCATGTTCTTTCTACACATTCGTTTCTGCCATCGATGGTGTCAAGCTTTTCGGCTACCCTCGCATGATATTTGTCCCTAGTATCCGCTTGTGGGGTTGTGTCATGTCTTCCTGGCTGTTCATACTGTATCTCGACAGCTGTTTACAAAAGCTGAAAGATAGCTGTTTGGGTGTGAAATTGGGTGACATAAAAGTAAATTGTCTGCTGTATGCTGATGATGCAGTGCTTATTGCACCATCAGAGGCAGAACTGCAGGCATTAGTCACGTGTATGAAAGAGGAATGTGAAATTAAAGGTCTCCGTTTGAATGCTAATAAAACTAAGGTTCTGGTATTTGAAAGGGACGAAGAGAGAACGAAGTGTGAAATATGGGTAAATCAGGAATGTCTAGAACAGGTAAATGAAATTGTATACTTGGGGAGTGCTTTTAGCCGGGATGGAAGATGTGATTTAGATGTGGACAGGCGTGTCGCTGCCGGGAACAAAGTCAATGGTGCCCTGACTGCGTTAGTCAAAAGGCAAGGCGTAGCGAAGAGTGCACGCCTTGCAATACATAACGCAGTGTTGGTACCGACTTTGTTATATGGCAGCGAAACCTGGGTATGCCAGAAGAAGCATAAAAGTAAGTTGAATGCAGTGGAGATGCGATCTCTTCGTAAAATGTGCGGCGTTACTATGGCCGACCGAAAGCGAAACGAAGAGATTCGCAATATGGCAGGTTTGAAAGATGACCTTATCACAAAAATTGGTAAGGGCGTGCTTCGGTAGTTTGGGCACGTTGAGCGAATGAGTGAAGACCGAATGGTGAAGAAAATATATAGCGCGAAAGTTAATATTAAAAGGTGTCGAGGTAGACCGAGACTAACTTTCGAAGACCATGTGAGCAAATTGCTCGAAGAGGGTAGGGTCAAGAGTACTCGGATACCTAGACGTGCATGTATGAAGAAGATAATGAATCTGAAAGAAGCGAAAGAGATATGTAAGGATCGTGACACTTGGCGGTCTGTTCTCTCTGGCAACCCCGTCAGGGATTGTGCGTGAAGATAAGTAAGTAAGTAAGTAAATTACACGCGGGCGAAGTCGCGAGGAACAGCTAGTAGGTAATATGTTTGTGGGATTTTATGTATAAAAAAAAATTAAAACTCTGTGATAGTGATGAGTTTCGAGAACAATTTTATTTGATGAAACTAGTAACAAAAAAATCGTACTCGTTTGAAAAACATATTAAATCGAGTTCAACTAGACTCAAATCATTTGTCACAGTAATCACATCTCGGGTGATAATCTCTATACGTAAAGTACGGCCAACGAGAAGCGTACCAAATGTAAATAAAAACCAATGCAAGCTTATTAGGAATAGCAGCGATGCATAACTTTTTGATAGTTATATTATTTTATTTATTTACTCTTTATTGTACACCAAAAAACAAAACGAATACAGTTAAAACTAAAGTAGAAAATTTACAACAGGCGGTCTCATCACTCTGAAAATGATCTCTTCCAGACAACCTTAGTGTAGAGAACTGATGCAAACAATAGTTAAAAATAGAGGGGGGCGTACAAAATAAAAATAAAAATAAGAAAATACATATAAATAAAGATAAGTGAAGATTGTGTATGATATCACATAATAGATTAAAAGAAAAGAGTATGAAAAAGGATTACGATTATATATTTAAGTAGACAATATAGTTTTAAAAACTGTCTAAGCAAACCAAAAAATAGACTTTTTATAAATTTTGTTATAATTTGAATTATTGTATAATGTAGATTTAAATTAAATAACGAGAATAATAATAATAATGTTTGTAAATATCGCTTGCCTAACAACTGTGTGCCCGCTGTATGGTAGGCTTACCCCCCTGTTACATAGGGACTTAAATATATCAGGCAAAATGAGGGTGTTAATATCTCTACCTAACCCTTAGGGGATACATGACTGATGAAATGTTATGTTATGTTTATGGAAATGAGGATAAAAATATTTTTTTGAGGAAATCATTGTTTATTCAGTCAGACGCCGACTCTTCTGAGTCTGTAGAGTCAGAATTAGAGTCTGTAACACGTATTAATAAATTTAACCGTCACGTCATCTACAATAAAATCAAGTTTGAAAAACTTATTTTCTTCTTTTTGAACATGCTCCACACATTTCTTCCACCGATCAGGCGTGTCTTTCGCCATACCGTCACTTAATAATGCCTTAACTTTTTCAAATTTAAACGTAGTATTGTTTCTAGCTACGTGCCCCTTTACATCAGTCCAAATCAACTCAATGGGGTTTAATTCATAATGGTAAGGGGAAAGTCTTAGTACTTCGACGCCGTATTTCTTTGCTAACTCGTCTATGACGTATAATTGATATTGGTCCTTCACCATCTTTACTTTATTTAATAATTGTATTTTTATTTCCTTTTCATCGAAACTAATATTTTTGTCACGTAGCCACTGTTGAATGTTAGCCTTCAACGTGTTGTTTTGTTGTTTTTTTTCAGTCTCCTTGAGTGGTAAGGTGCGTTATCCATGACGACGACTGCATTCTCGCCTAATTTGGGTAATATCTTTTCAAACTAGCTTCAAAATGTGCAGTATCCATTGATTCGTGATAATCACTAGTGCCTTTGGATTAAAACAACCGGCTACCGTCTTCCACAAAACCATCCTCACTTCAATGTGGGCTACGGTTAGTTAGTCACCGGCCCTTTGAGATAGGATTCTTCGCACCTGTACTCAGAACTTCTAAAAACGCTTACCGTCTTGATTTTATTTCGGTGTTAACTCAAGTTTTATTAACAGTGTGACCTGAAAATAACATACAGGATACAATAAAACATAGGCAATATTACAAATAATAATCTTACACAATCTTTCAGGCAGGAATACTTGGTTTTGATTTTGCGCCGAAGGATTTCTACTGAAGTTAGGAACTCTCTGCGCACAAGTGTAACTTAAAAACAAATGACTGACCTGCGTTCACCCATGTTTCATCCATATAAAAAATACGCCGATTCTCCTCTCTGTACTTCTTGATTTTATGTAAGTATTTTCGTCGCCACATTACAATATCATCTCTATCTATCAGGGCATTATTTCTTTGCCTCTTTATATACTTAAACTTAAAATGTTTTAGTATTTTTTGGAAAGTAGTCCTTTTTATATTTGGTCGAGTATCGTCTTCATTAATATATGAAAGTACATTTTTCACTGTAGGAAGTTCGCCTTTAATAAAGAAAGCATTTAATTTTTTGCGTATGGCTGATTTATTAAAATCATCAATTTTGTCACTAAACGTTGGTCTAGGTTTGGTGGTGACAGGAGAAAAAATTTCGCCGTGTCCTTTATAGTCTTTGATGATTCTATATACAGATGCAACGCCGATTCCTAAAATACTAACTGCTTTCTGCGCCATCTCTTTTCTGTATGGGTATTTATCATTAGGCCACGTTTCTTTAACATATTTGTAGGTATTAATAACCATATTTTTTTCATTCACACTAAAACTAGTCACCTGAAGTTAAAAATTAAATTAAAATGATATACCTACATACTCTACTTACATGCATCTTTAATAAATTAAGAAAAGTTTTATTATTACAATTGCTGTTTTTTAAATAACTTTAAGATGACTTTAAAGTACGCTCCGAACCAAGAAGCTTTAATTAACATACCATACACGTTTTAAATACATACCTTTGGACGTTTCTTTTTCGGAGAAGTAAAATCTGTTGATTTATCTCTCCACGTACTTGGTTGTGGCTCCATCATTAACCACTCTTAATAAAAAAACAATTATCAACAAAACAAAATAACAATAATTAAATAATCAAAAAAAATAACAAAAATTTTAACAAATAACTTCTATCACCACGACCGCGTTCCGAAACGAAATGAATCACTATAATTACTAAAATGGTCTCCCGAATGTTGGGGAACCCGTCTTGACCCCTACATGTTTTTGCCGGGAAAACGAGACATTACGACAAATACACAAGATGGAAAGAAGTAGATAATAGATTGAACCCCACAGTCGTTTTTAAGGTAAACGACCTTTCGTATCGCTTCTAGTTGGCCTTACTTTAAATAGAGGATTGACTAGATAAAGCAATCGCGTATGATTTTGGGATAGAAATAGGCGGGAGGTACTTTCCCCGAGTTACCAGATATTGTTCCATTTCCCCCGTTACGGGTTTATTTATATTCACAGCACTTAAATTAATAAAAAAACTTATTTGTTACCATAAAAAATGTTTTTTTATAATTCAAATGATTAATTCATTTCTCTTGAAAATACATTCTGTGACTAAAAACTACGAGCGGAAACGGCCTAAAAAGAGAATCATCACTCCGTATTCAACGGAGCATCGACGATTTGACTGGACATTCAATAAACTTTTTGGATTTCGACGGCACTAAGTGAAGACGCTACTAGCACAAAGTGTGATATCGCTAATAAGTAACAATATGTTAAGTATGTACTTAAATACTAATTAAGAATAAAAATATTAATGTTGCGCACCACAATTAATACCACTAGTGCCCTCTAGTATCGAGTAGCAGAACTAGAAGAGTCAAGAACCTTCTAGAAATTTCCATGGAACAACTTTCTTGAACTATCAACACCTAGTTAACCGGGACCGATATGTACTCGAACATTCTAGATGTTTCTACAGTAGAAGGTTCTGGAAACTATCTGAGACCCTATATAAGGCCGGTATAGACCGCGACCGAGGCAGTATTGAATTGGCGATATAAGCGAATACTTCGAAGCGATATAACTGCGAACTAAAGTGATCAGTAGTACTTTTGTGTTTTATTATTATTGTGATTTTAAGTTGTAATTAGTGTTCTGTAATTAAAGTGTCAATTTTGGTAATTCAATCGGCAGTTTTTAATTGTCTCGAACCCCCAGCTGGTAACAATTGGTGTCAGAAGTGGGATCAAATCATGCCGATTTTACCAAAGGATGACATGGAGGGTATCCGTACTCGAATTCAACGCCAGCAGGAGACGGACCAGAGACGATTTGGTTGTGCAACGCCGCAGACGTCGGAGGGCCAGCTGCCGACCACGGAGGCCGGCCCGTCAATAGCTCCTGCAATTTTAGCACCTGACTTAGGTGCTCTGATGATGATGCTGCAGGAGTAGACTCGCCGACAGGAGGAACAGACCCATCGGTTGGAAGAACAGCTGCAGCGCGGACAGGAGGGACAGGCCCGCCAACAGAAGGAACAGGCCCGTCGGTGATTTTGACAGCTGTTGAATAAATTACTGATTTTGATGTTTGATGTTGACGTTTCTGTTCAACCACGTGACACGGCAAGCGCTTTCGCCATTATTAATTCAATATATGACTGGTAACTGAACGTCAATAACGGTTTTACGTGTTTTTGGTGTCATATTAATTTTTTTAATTGCAATATAATATTTAACGCGAATACATTTTTAGACCTTTATTTGTAGTAATGAAAACCAAACTTCGACGCTGGTATCACCGGAGACTAGCCATCTACGTAGGACAGGTTTTTATGGTGTACGATTGTGTACACAAATACAAACACACTGTACTTCCCATTTCTTATAGTACTGTTACGAGCTTGGGGTTCGAGATAATTAAAAACTGCCGAGTGAATTACCAAAATTGACTATTTAATTACACAACACTAATTATAACTTAAAATCACACTAATAATAAAACACAGTTCGCCGTTATTTCGCTTCGAAGTATTCTCTTATATCGCCAATTCAATACTGCCTTGGTCGTGGTCCATACCGGCCTTATATAGGGCCTCAGATAGTTTCCAGAACCTTCCACTGTAGCGACATCTAGAATGTTCGATTACATATCGGTCCCGAAATTTCTGGAAGGATCTCGACTCTCCTAGTTCTGCTACTCGACACTAGAGGGCGCTAGTGTAACTAGTGTTGCCATGTACAAGACATTAATAGTGGCGCGCAACACTTTCTTTTACTCGACACTAGAGGGCGCTAGTGTAACTAGTGTTGCCATGTACAAGACATTAATAGTGGCGCGTAACACTGCCCCCTCCTAAGACATGCTCGTCCCGAGCATTATTGGCCTCATAATAACGCGCCAGTCGATCCACATGGACAATCTTAGGAGTACCTCTGGCACCTTTCTGTATCCGGTAGGTTACGTCATTGATCCTTGTCACAATCCGGTACGGTCCGTCCCATTTAGCTTGAAGCTTAGGAGATTTCCCTTTGCTGCGAACTGGATTGTGTAACCACACTAGTGAACCTTCATCAAACCCCTTGTTGTTCATTTTGCGGTCATACCGTGTTTTCATCTTCTCAGACGTTTGCTGGCCCGTCTGTCTGACGTGCTCATAAATGTCATTCATTTTGTTCCGCAAGTCATTTGCATAATTGGTTATACTGCGTGGGGCATCAGGTGGTATTCCGGTGATCAGGTCTGCAGACAGCCGCAATTCTCTCCCAAAATTTGCGAAAGCTGGTGTCACTGATGTACTTTCATGAACAGCGCTTCGATATGACAACAAAAATGGTTGTATGTGCCTGTCCCAGTCTCGTTGCCGTTTTTCCACAACTTTTGCTAGGTACCTACCTCTCCAATGTCTGATTAAATCTTTCTACCATTCCATCAGATTGTGGGTGGTAAGAAGTTGTTCGTGTTTTCTGAGTACCCATAACTCGGCAAGTTTCCTGGAATATTTGAGACCCAAAATTCCTTCCTTGATCGCTGTGAATCTCTAAAGGTACTCCAAAACGACAGAAGACTTCATGAACTAGTTTATCTGCAACTGTTGAAGCTTCTTGATTTGGAATGGCGAAGACTTCTGGCCACTTAGTGAAGTAATCCATCACAACCATGAAATACTTGTTACCACTTTCAGTTTCTGGAAACGGCCCCGCAAGGTCAATGGCTATCCTCTCCCATGGTGCACCAACATTGTACAATTTCAATGCGCCTCTACTACGAATTTGAGGTCCCTTTACAGCCGAACAACTTGTACATTTGCGGCACCAGTCCTCAACATCGTCACGACAGTGGATCCAGTAAAACCGTTCTCGGATCTTCAGGAGAGTTCGTTTAACTCCCAGGTGGCCTCCTGAACAACCACTATGGTACAGCTGTAGAATATTCGGCACTTTAGCCTTAGGGACAACCATTTGCAAATGACACCTGTCTCCCCAACCATTTTCCCATTTACGGCACAGGACTCCTTCCTGAATCAGCAAGCTGTCCCATTGGGCCCAATAGCTTTTCGTGGTTGAACTCATTGCTGAGACGTCGCTCCACTTGGGCTTAGGAGCACTGGCCTTCATCCATTCCAGAATCGGCTTAATGTCCGAATCTTCCTGCTGTGCATGTTGTAGGCTGTCCTTCCACTCATTGCTGAGCTGGTCTGTCCTGAGCATTCTCACAGATACCACTTCCTTACCCTCTTGCCTAGTACAATGCTTGCAATCTTCAGGGCAAGGTCTTCTTGACAATGCATCTGCATTGCCATGAGATTTCCCGCTGCGATGTTCGATCACAAAGTCGTATTCCTGCAGTAGTTCAATCCATCTCGCAACTTGTCCTTCCGGATTTTTGAACTGCAATAGCCATTTCAGTTCAGCATGGTCAGTTCGTAAGTAGAATTTCCGCCCCAGGAGATATTTGCTAAAATGCTGCAAGGACTTTACCACAGCAAGCAATTCCCGTTTTGTGACACAATAGTTCCTTTCCGACTTTGACAACAACTTGCTGAAGTACTCTATCACAATCTCTTGATCACCATTCCGTTGAGACAACACACCGCCAAGTCCTATATCACTTGCGTCTGTGTCAACTATGAATTCCTTGCCCACATCAGGGTACCCCAAAATAGGTGTTTTGCACAGACGGTTCTTGAGCTCCTGGAATGCAATATCGCAACTTTCATCCCAGCAGAAATGTCGCTTCTCCTCGGTTAGCTTGTGCAGAGGTTTGGCTATATCTGCAAAGTTCTTCACAAATCGACGATAATAAGAGCACAAACCCAAAAATGCTCTAACCTGTGTCTTGTCTTTTGGAACCGGCCACTCCTTGACAGCGGCAATTTTCTCTGGATCCGTGCGGATACCTTCTTCCGACACTACATACCCCAAAAAACTAACTTGCCGTTTGAATAGTGAGCACTTCTTCGGACTCAACTTGAGGTTGGCACTCTGGATCTTCATGAGCACGCGTTCTAGGTTTTGAAGGTGTTCCTCAAACGTACGACCTACGATGATGATGTCATCCAAATAGACCAGACAGGCATCTCCAATTAGCCCGGTAAGTACAAGCTCCATCAACCTTTCAAACGTTGCTGGAGCATTGCACAATCCAAACGGCATGACTTTAAATTGCCACAGGCCCTTTTCTGTGGAGAATGCAGTTTTCTCCTTGTCCTTAGGGTCAATTTCAACCTGCCAGTAGCCACTTTTCAGATCCAGCGTACTAAACCACTTTACGCCTGTAAGCATGTCCAGCGTGTCATCAATTCTTGGCAAGGGATAGCTGTCCTTCTTTGTAACGTCGTTCAGGCGGCGGTAGTCAACACAAAACCGCATGCTGCCGTCCTTCTTATTTACCAGCACCACAGGTGAACACCATGGACTAGATGAAGGTTCAATAACACCATCCTTCACCATTCCCTCAATCATGGTTTCCACTTCCTTTTCACGTGCTACAGGCAATCTTCTTGGCCGCTGACGAATAGGCAATTCTTGTCCTGTGTTTATTTTGTGTTGAACTAAGCCAGTGTTTCCTA